TATATATATAAAGATAAAGATTTAACATATTAACTAATTTGGGATAAACGAAAAATGAGAGTGTTTATTATTTCATTATTTGTTGCTCATTTGTTCCACTTTAATAGTAATAAATATGATATTTTACCTTGTTCTGCTTTAAGTGCTCATTTAGGATTTAAAAGTATATTAATTTTTTTTTCAATTTTACCCATATTTATTAAGTTTTTTGTAACCAAATTAAAAAAAAGATCTTTTAATTTAAAAAAAAAAAAGTCAATTTAGATATTCTACTATATATCTTTAAAAAATCAATTTATTCTAATCATTTTCTTAACTCTGTGTGAAAAGACAACATTAATTTCTTTAGTGACTATGATGAATTTCATGTCCAATCAAAATTATTGTTATAAATTTATTGCAAACCTAATATTTTGGTCCTCCTCTTTGCCGTCTAATTCAAGCTAATTATTGTCAAAACTTCCATGAAGTCTTGCAATCCCGTCTTGCACGTTCTCCGTTCGTTGAATCAAAAATTATATTATCAAGATCTTAATTTCAAAAACAAAAATATTTGTAAAATTAGTTAGATAAACGTGAATATATATATATATATATTAAAATTAGAATTTTTAATTGAATTCAAATATTCCTAATCGAGTTCAAATGATTTCTTTTTATTTTTAATTGAATTCAAATATTCCTAATCGAGTTCAAATGATTTCTTTTTTTTTTTTTACATAAAAATATTAGAATTTCTAATTGAATTAATATCTGTGTTTTTTAAAATATTTATCCTTTGTTGTCATAATAATAAATTACTAAAGATATATTTGTGTCCATCTTATTATTTTCCTCTTCATTCCCATATTTACAAATACTGGTTTTTTTAATGACGTACATTGCACGTTGACAATGCTCATTATATTTTTATTTTTTATACTCTTTTAATTTTTTATATAAATAATGTGAAAGCATAAGTTTTTGTTTAAATTACAATAAATACAATTAGTTAATTTGTATTAAACTTTACCGTATAAGCGACTTGCAATGTTATTTTTTACGTACTTGATTCTATTTTTTTTTATAATGAAGTAATCTCAAAATAAAGTTTAATCCAATCATTCTATCTAATCATTCAGTCCCTAATTTATAAATACAAATTCTTAAAAATCTGATAGGTGCTCAGAAAAAAAATCAAGTTTTCACTCAATCTCCAAATCTTGCCCTCAATCCCAAATCAATATCTATATACAGCTATAATGAAAAATAATTTTTTTTACTGGTAGGTAAAAGAAAAGAAATGATAAGATGATCTGAATTAATAATGATAATCATTTTTGCTATAGTAATAGTATCACTTACCCAATGCATTAGAGAAAAGAATATAAAAATATACACACAAATTTTTGAAACCCAAAAAATGACTAAAAACAGAAATATATAATTCTAATTTTTTTTTCAATTTCATAAGCACTATTTTCTTTCAAGTCAAATATATTTAGGATATAAAAATAGCACTATTTCCTTTTCATCAAATGACTATTTTAGTTATATATAGAAGGAAAAGTATCTAAAAAGAAAAAAATAATAAAAAGTGCTTAATTAGAAGGTCCTATTCTTATTTATTGCAAAGGGAGAATATAAACTCTCTACAAATTAAAGTGATAATGGTTATATAATTAATACATGATAAGAAAAATGAAATTTATAAAATAAAAAATTTTATTTAGGAATTAAACTCTTTTAAGAATCAATCAGATACAGTAATATGATATATTAAAGAAATTATCAATTTCATATTTCAAATTAATAACTTGAATGCTATAAGTATTTTAATTAAAATTTGTTATTTTGATGGATCAGAATAAAAAAAAAAAATTACTCGAAAGTTCAATAATGAAAAGTACAATACAAAAAAAAAAAAAAAAAAAACCAAGTCAATAAATGAAAAGTACAATACAAATCATACTAGGATATAATATTAGTCGGTCAATGAGTTTATTCAAGTATTTTGTTTATCTATTATTCTAAATTGTAAATTTAAAACAAATAAATAAGTTAATTAAACAATAAAAAAAAGATTATAAAAACGTCCAATCAAATAATAAAATATAATTTTTCTTCTTAAACACAGGTATCTCGAGTCTACTAAGCAAGAACTAAATCATGCTCGCACCAGGTTGGCTCAAAAAAGAATAAAGTGCTTTGGGCAAGTATTTGCTCCATCCATGCGGATCAAACCCTCGACCTCACCTAAGGGAGAAGAGTGTCAAACCACTCATCTAAATATTCGTTGGTATAAAAATATAATTTTTGAATTGACTACGACTAAGGCTATTTTAGGATATTCTAAATTTCATTGAGGACGATATTGAAAAGTCCATTATTTCCCCCATATTCCAACATTTATATATAGTACTAGTCTTTTGTATGACATGTTGCACGTTGACTATACTTGTTATATACTCATTTTTTATCTATATATATATCATAAGTTTTGTTTAGATTAAAAATAAATACAAGTGATTAATTTGTATTATACTTTGCCGTACAAATTACTTGCAATGCTACTTATTATGTACTTAGTTCTATTTTTATATAATGAAGTGATCTTAGAATAAAGTTCAACTCAATTCTTACACATAATCCTTTAGTCCATAATTTATAAATTCAGATTTTTGAAACCCTAATAGGTGCTAAAAAAAAATCAAGTCATCAATCAATCCCCAACCTCCTGCTTTCAATCCCAAATTAATTTCTATATACAACTATAATGAAGAATAATAATAAATTATTTTTACTGCTAGGTTAAAAAAAAGAAATGAAAAGATGATATGAATTGATAATGAAAATCACTTTGACCACAATGACAATATTATTTACCCAGTGTATCAGACAAATGAATACATGCACATATATACATATTCTTGAAACCCAAAAAGTGACCAAAACAGAAATATATAGTTCTAGCTTTTTTTTCAGTTTCCTAAACATTATTTTTTTTTAAGTCAAACAGATTTAGGATATAAGAGAAAAAAATATCAAGAAAAAAATATCAAGAAAATTAAAAATCATCAATAGGCCATCTGTTTATTGCAAAGGAGATATACATCCCTTACTAAATTAAAATGATAGTAGTTACAAACTATTCAGTAACGAAAAAGAAAATAAAAAATTAATATTAAGAATAAAACTTTTTCAAAACTCACCTAACAAAAAAAAAATGTTTCAATGTATATAGGTATATAAATATATCAATAAAATATTATATATATTTTTTAAAATTAAAATTTCAATAGTAAAAATATTATATATATTTTTTAAAATTAAAATTTCAATTGGTTTTTAGCCATTCCATGTTTTAATTATGGTAAATTCTAATTTGAAAATTTATTTTTAAAAGAATATATTCAATCAGAATATGACAAACATTAAGAACAAAATATTAATAAAAATAAGTATACTTTTTCTTCTTTTTTATCTCTCTTCTTAAATAAAATTTATTATATTATATATATTCTATTTGAAAATTTATTTTTTAAAAATATATCCAAATCATATCATACAACATAACATAAAAGAAAAAAAAACATTACAAAAAGTAATATCCAATTAAATATTAATAAATAAAATATAAAAAAAACCTTATGTCTCATTATCAATATATATTCATTAAAATAAATTTAGTAAAATATAAAAAATTAAAATTTTGAAATACTTAAATTATATATAATGTATTTATTTAAAACATTATTTTTTTTCGATTCATTAGGAAGTGCCCTGAATGGCTTAAACAAATACTGCGGGCTACACAACAATCAAATTGGTAACTCACCTAACAAAAAAAAAAAGTTTCAAATGTAATATAAATTATAAATATTCAATAAAATATTTATTTTTTTTATTAAATTTCAACTGTTCTACCATCCAAATTTAATTATGTAAATTCTAATTTGAAAATTTACTTTTAAAAAAATTTATCCAATCAAAATCCTACAAAACATAAAAAAAAGCAAAAACATTAAAATAAAAATAACTATATTTTTTTCTTTTTTTTTATCTCCTCTCCTAATAAATATTATATTATATATATATATTCTATTTGAAAAATTTATTTTTTTAAAAAAATATCCCAATTATCATACAAACAAAAGAAAAAAAATATTTTCCTTTCTTTTTTTAATAATATATTTTCCTAAAAAAAAATTAAATATTAATATTTTCTTTCTTTTTTTATATATATTTTCCTAAAAAAAATTAAATATTTAATAAATAAAATATTAAAATTTTCAAACATCTCATTATCATATATGTATTTATTAAAAAATAAATTTAATAAAGACAAAACTTAAAGTTTTAAAATGCTTAATTATTTATATGTATTTATTTTAAAAATAATTTTTTTATTCATTAGGAGGCCTATTGAGCAGAAAGAATATTGTGGGCTACACAATAATCAAATTAGTGAAAACACTTGTGGTCGAAAAGATCAAACTTGAGACCTCTCACTCCTCACATAAGTGAGAAGATAATCAAGCCGCACATAATTGACTTAAAAAATAATTTTTATAAATTATACCCAATTAACTAATAAACTGTAATTTTTTAATTGACTGTCATTAATGGAACTTTAGAACATTTTAAATTTCATTTGGGTGATATAGAAAATGTCATTATTCCCCTATATTCTCACTTTTATATATAATATAGATAGATTATCGATTATACTTGAGAAATTTCACCTAAAAATCAATAATAATAATAAGATGATGATGATGATGACGACGACGACGACAATATAACACCAAATATTGAGAAAATTAAAATTCTTTGAATTGGTAAACTATTTTTATAAAAACCTTCTTTGAAAGCAACTCTAACGCGCTTTCAACAGTTTATTTTCCACAACATGGGTCAATGCACAGTTATTTTCCATATTTCTATATTATATATTTTTCTAATATGGGTCCTTCAAATTAATTTGCCGTGTCGCTATAAAAGACAAAAGCATCAAGAACATCTGATTCATTACACAAATATGAAAATGGTGTTGATCAGAAAGAGTTGGATGCTGCTGATGATTACGAGTTTATTATTACAAAGTAGTAATGGTTGTTTGAAGCATGAGAAAATTGCCCTTTTGCAACTCAAGTCTTCCTTCAAACATTCTGATAATAGCCCCATGGCGGCTTGGGGAAGTGTTGATAATTGTTGTAATTGGACAAGGGTCGAATGCAATCATAATACTGGGGAAGTTCATGAACTCCATCTTTACTCCTTACAAGATTCTAATTCAGAAGAGTGGTATCTAAATGCTTCTTTATTTCTTCCCTTTCATAAATTGAAAGTTCTCGATTTAGGTTCCAACAACATAGCTGGATGGATCAAGAATGAAGGTATCTATCTATTTATTTTATTATACAATTAATTATAATCATTTGCAAATCAATAAACGATGCTAGCTTTTATAGTTTTAACCATCCGGTATCCGAATTTTCTGACTCGACTAATTCGGGTTCGCGTCGGACGAGCTCACAAAGGGGGCAAAGCACTCCCTTGAAGTGTTTAATAGGACTCCATACCCAGGACTCAAACTTAAGATATCTGGTTAAGGGAAAAGGGGTCCCTGTTATCCAATTTCACCTCTCGAGTATAATGAGTCCAGCTTTAATGAAGATAAGAATTATTATATTATATTATATTACTCATACTTATAATTCTTTGTTCGGGTTTTGAAAAGCAACCTACACTTAACAATTTAGAGATTCTTGAGTTAAGTTAGAGCATCTTCAATACAAACGTGGATTGCTCCTATTTAATTGCCAGATCAGAAAAATGAAAAGATTTTTTGAAAAATACTCCTTAATGCTAATGTCTATTTAGGATGTCAAGTTAATGTGTCCAAAAAATCAATAGACATTGTCTAGTACACTTTCTATTTCTATAGGTTCTCTTAGACAATGTTAACAGTTATTGCTCTCTGGTGATTGGTTGCATATTAAATTGTGAGCCCAGAAAAGAGAGAATAAAAGGATATTCAAAACTAATGCATTGAAGATAGTTTTTTAAAATTTATGGTCTATAAGTAGACATTCAACCACATCATTATTCACACATTCTATTTTACATGACACATCCGCCACAATCCACGTTAGCATGGAGATGCTCTTATAATATGTTGAACAACAACAGTCTAAAATGTCTAGGTGGTCTTTCATCTTTAAAATCTTTAAATTTGTATAGCAATAATCTCAAAGGAATTATTGATATTCAAGGTCAGCTTTCACTTCACTCTTTTTATTTTTTTTTTTCTTTGGAAAAATCAATTTGAAATTTTTAGCTAAGTCATCATATATGTGTTTATAGCTAACTCATTCTATTTTTGTGTATCAACTATTATTCTTTGGAAAAATCAATTTGAAATTTTTAGCTAAGTCATCATATATGTGTTTATAGCTAACTCATTCTATTTTTGTGTATCAACTATTAAACAAAGGAAAAAATCATATGTATATGTGCAAAATTGAATAATTTGAAGAATTTACAGGAGTTGAATATGGGAGGCAACCAAATGAAGGCTTTAAATATTTGCATGATACGAATTGATTTTTCATTGCACTCATTAATTATGTTGATTGCTTTTTTTGAGTATTGGAAAAGGGGATTCGAACTTAAATTTATTGTCAGGTCGTGCAATTATTATAAGAGAATCCAAATGCACTTACCACTATACTATATCTTGGTGTGCAATTGTTTTGATTGCTTAATTAAATAAGTTTAAAAAATATTATATATATGTAGGTGATGAAGAATTGCTGAAGTTGAGGAATCTGGAGCACCTTAGCTTAAGAGGAAATCTCTTTAATAACAGTATTCTATCATTCCTCAAAGGGCTCTCATCTCTCAAAAGTCTGGACGTAAGAAGCAATCAATTCCAAGGACCATTCAATTTCAAAGGTTAAATAAGTTTATTTTCCCTCTCTTTATGATTCAGTTTAAAACAATTTGAATAGAAAATTGTGTATAATTAAAATTAAATGATCTAATTAGTCTTTTTTTTTTTTTTTTTTTTTTTTTTTTCCGAATCAGAACTACGAACCTTAAAAAGCTTAGAGGAGCTGGACTTGAGTGGAAATAACAACATTACAAAATTTGTGGACTCACCAGGTGCGCTTACAATCTTGATTAATATGTGTTTTGGTAATTATTGACATACATAGATTCTATTCTCACTTGCAGATAAAAGAAGGATAAAAGAAGTCTAAGCAACTTAAGTCTCCTTCTAAATTATATCACCATAGATAGAAGAAGCCATCTTGTAGAATCCTTGGGGAAATTCCCCTATCTCAAAGCCCTATCTCTAAGCTTTTGCAAAATTTTCAATGCAACTATATTTGGTCAAGGTAATTAAGTTGATTTATACTGTAATTAGCTTGTTGGCAATTACTCTTCTGTGCATTTCAATTATTTCTTTTTTGGTATTTTGATAGACTTGCTTAATTTAAAAAATTTGGAGCATTTGGACTTAAGTTTTTCTACTATCGAGAGTGGCTTTCATCTACAAAGCATTGGAATGAACAAAGGATTGGAATGACGAGGAATCTTAAAACTACTCGTATCTTTTGCCTAAAATTGTAGACTCCTGGATACATGACCTTGCCGACAAATGGTATACTTTAGAAAATCCCCCTCTTCTATGTTTTCATCCATCTCTTATCAAAAAATGTTAGAGAATTTTAGGGACTATCAAATCTTTTATTTATTATTATAAATTTATAACTTTTCCAGGTCTTTGTTGAATTAAAGTATCTGCTTGTGAATTAAAGTATCTGCAGCAACTAGACTTAAGCGGAAATCAATTCAATGGTAGCTTGCCATGGTGTCTAGCAAATTTGACATCCCTTAAACTATTAGATCTCTCTTATAATAATTTTATAGGAGATGTTGCTTTATCTCCTCTTAGGAGTTTAACATCCCTTGAATACCTAAACCTCTTTGGAAATCTCTTTCAAATCCCAATCTCGCTCTCTCCATTTTTCAACCATTCAAAGCTCAATTATTTGGATTGTCAAGATAATAAAATATATGCCGCAATGGATGATCATAATTTGACTCCAAAGTTTCAACTAGACATTCTTAAATTATCTGGCTATCGTTCATATGGTAGTGGAAAGCTTCCCGGCTTCCTCCATCATCAGTATAACCTACAAGTAGTCGATCTCTCACACAATAGAATTCAAGGGAATTTTCCAAAGTGGTTGTTAGAGAATAATACAAAACTAGAGGAACTTCATTTAGCCAATAATTCTCTTTCTGGGTCTTTTCAGTTACCTACTCATTCTCTTTTGAATTTATCACTCATTTCTCTTTGAATTTATTCACATACTGGATGTCTCTGATAAATTATACTTGGTAAATATAGGTACCTTCCAAAATGGGAAAATATATTTTGCCAAAGTTTGAGAGATTTAAACATGAAAGAAAAGAATAGTTTTGAGTTGGAAACAATTCCTCTTCTTGTGGAAATTATAGACTTGATTGACAAAATTAGACTATATCGCGACAATAACTTATCAGGGAGTATACCAGAGCCAAGCAAGTGACCCATGGTTTGTAATTCTCATTAAATGAACTTAATACTATTCAGATAATTTCTTTGCAAGGACAAATATTTCCTGAGAGATGCTACCTGGAATATTTGGAAAAATTTAACTATTTGGATGGTAATCGATTGAGCAGCTAAGTATACCAAATAGTTTTCTAAATACTTGTACTAGGGTTGATAATTTAAAAAATTATGTCAGTGATAACCATCTCATTTAGGAAATATCCCAATGGAATAGGAAAAATGTCAGTGATAACCATCTCTTTGGAAATATCCCAAAATGGATAGGAAATATGTCTTCTCTTGAAATTTTAGATCTTTCACTCAATAGTATCTCTGGAAGCTTATCATCCAATTTTTGCTCTAATTCTTACCTAAGAGAAATTCATTTGTCAAAAAATAAGCTGCAAGGATCTCTCAGAAATGTTTTTAGTGATTGTTATAGTTTGATGGTGTTAGACTTAAGCCATAATAAGTTGATAGGAAAAATTCCAACATGGATTGTCAACATTTCTAGGTTGAGCTATATTTTGTTAAGTCATAATAATTTTATTGGTGAACTTCCAATTCAATTATGTGGGTTAAAAGAACTAAGCTTGATCAATTTTTCTCATAATAATCTTTCTGGTCATGTTCCCTCATGTTTGACATTGCGTAGTGATTCGTCTAGAGAACTTGAAACTCAATCTCCTGACCCACCACCTATGCAACCTTTAGAATTTACAAATAAAAATGCAACTTATTCTTACCAACGGAAAACCCTCCAATATCTTTCAGGGATTGATTTCTCTTGTAACAAATTTTCAGGAGAGATTCCACCTGAAATTGGAAATCTTAGTGAAATCCAAGTGTTGAATTTGTCTTATAACATTTTGACTGGACCAATTCCACAAACATTTTCCAATTTGAGGCAAATTGAGAGTTTAGATCTTTCTTACAATAATTTGGAAGGAAAAATTCCCTCTCAACTTACTCAATTATATTCTTTAACAGTTTTTAGTGTAGCACATAACAATTTATCTGGCAAGACACCTGCGAGGGTTGGTCAATTTGCAACATTTGAAAAAGGCAGTTATGAGGGAAATTCTTTCCTCTGTGGATTACCTCTTCCAAAGCCTTGCGATGCAACCACATCTCCGCCGTTGATGCCAACAACTTCAACCGATGAAAAAGAAGAAAATGGCTTCATCGACATGGGTGTTTTCTATGTGAGTTTTGTGGTGTCTTACATCATAATATTATTGGGAATAGTTGCAATTTTGTATATAAATCCATATTGGCGTCGAGTATGGTTCTACTATATAGAATTGACTACCACCAATTGCTACTATTTTTTTGTCGACAATATTTCTTTCTTGTCCAAGTTTGGAGTTTCATAGTATTGTGTCTTGTCAGATACTATTGAGTTTATGCATTCTCAATATTTCATAATTCATGTTATAACTCTTATAATGAATAATGAATGTAATAAAGTGAATTATCAGTTTTAAGTGTGTTAGAAAATATTAGTTGCATCTTAACCTGAGCTGTAATCTCTTTAATAACAAGATTCTGCCATTCCTTAAAGGGCTTTCATCTGTCAAACAAATTGTATATACTGTACAGCTAATTTTAGTGTTCGACAGATAAACTGAAGTTTATTTATTCAAAAATAATGTATTTTCTAATAATTTCAGTTTTAAGCTATCTCCCTCGGTCATAATAAATTTGTCTTGTATTATGATTTAGATTTCTCGAATCAATCTCCTATTGAAATTGGAAATATTTGTATGATTATTTAATTTGCTAATGTTATATTGCAATCAAAAGAGAATAATAATAAATATTTTTCAAAATATTATTAGATTTCTCGAATCAATCTCCTATTGAAATTGGAAATATTTGTATGATTATTTAATTTGCTAATGTTATATTGCAATCAAAAGAGAATAATAATAAATATTTTTCAAAATATTATTATTTTTTAATTTGTATTATTGGGCCACCAGAAAAGCCCAACTTAACCATTTAGCCCATTAGACTGCCAATTTAATAGATATGTGCTTCATCATCATCATATAATATAATTGCGGGCCCAACTTAAGAATAAAGAAAATAGTTTAATTTAACATCCCCTCGAATGTTAACGGGGCAAAATAATTCATGAAATGATTTTTTAAATTTCTTTGTATTTTGTTTAAATAAACAATTATTTAAAATAAAATATTGAATTTTGATATTATAATTGTGTTTTTATATTTTGTTATTTAGGAAATATAAATCCAAATACTTATATTATTGAAATAATAAATCCAAATAAACTTATATTGATTTATAATGTTAATATTTTAATGATTGTAAATATTCTCCAAAAAAAAAAAAAAAAAAAAAAAAAAAAAAAAAGATAAAAGACTTCGTCATCTGCTATAGCATTTTATTTATTTCTGTTACTTACAATTTATTTTAAATTAATTATTTTTTTATATTATATATAGCTCCGTCATTTATTATTTATTCAGGATACAAACAGAAGTTTTATCGCATGCCATTTAAATTTATGCAATCAATAGCACATGCCATTTAAATTTATGCAATCAATAGCAATCTTTTTACTCAGTGATTCATTGAGGATTAACAATTTCAATTTTTGTTTCTGAAAAAATCAATTTCTTAAGTTTAAATTTATTAAACATCCGGCAATTGAAATATTAAATTGCAAAATATATAAAATATTTGAAATTATGATGTAATCATTAGGTTGCACATATGTAATGTTGAATCAAGCTTATTAATTTAAAGTACCCATGATAGGTTGGCGTATATATAACTTTTTAATCTAATTGAATCCATTAAATGTGTAAATCTATGGATTATGAACTAGTACATGAATTATACTAAATAGTACAAAAATTTTAAATAAAATGCAATTATTTAATCACATGTGTTTTCTCCTATTGTATTATCAAATTTAATATATATAATTATTTTTCTCATAATATTTATATCTATATGTGTATCAAATTTAATATATATAATTATTTTTCTCATAATATTTATATCTATATGTGTAATAAATATATAAAATTTAAAGCATTTTTGCTGACGTCGCGAAATTCTAAAATATTTATTTGTTTAGTCAAAATTCATTTTTTATTACCATTTATAGATATTGATGGATTGAAATTAATATCATTAATAAGTTTTTGTAATTAATGAATTAAAAATAATGTTGATACTTTGAAAATGTTTCAACTTTAGTCTTTAATAAATAATAAAACATTTCAGTTGCTTTAACTGATTCATGAGTTAATAGTATCATAAATATTATTGAAAATAAACTAAAATTATAAAATAATTAAAATGTATCAATTATTACGATAAAAATTATAAAATAATTAAAATGTATCAATTACGATAAAATTAATAATAATAATCAATATATCATTAATATATTTATCATTTTGAAATCATTAATAATTATTAATAATTAATAATTAATAAAATATCTCATTTAATTCAAATCATTTGAAATTATTTAAATAAATATTTTTCCTAATAAGGCTCTTTATAAACATGATAAATGGTTATATAATTTATGATATATAAAAACATTTTAAATATAGTTGGAAGATGTTTTTTATAATGAGAGTTAATTATAAAATAATTAAAATGTATCAATTACGATAAAATTAATAATAATAATCAATATATCATTAATATATTTATCATTTTGAAATCATTAATAATTATTAATAATTAATAATTAATAAAATATCTCATTTAATTCAAATCATTTGAAATTATTTAAATAAATATTTTTCCTAATAAGGCTCTTTATAAACATGATAAATGGTTATATAATTTATGATATATAAAAACATTTTAAATATAGTTGGAAGATGTTTTTTATAATGAGAGTTTCATAATGCATTTTATATTTATTTTAAATATAACTTTTAAATTACAATTCACTAAATAGCTTTAAATGCAATAAAACTTAATCATGATTTGAACAATACATAAAAATGTTTTAATATAGTTTTGAATACTACCAAAACATTTATAATATAATTTTGATTAGTTGAATTTAATTATGATTGAAATATTATAAAAAAATTTAAATGTAACTTTAAAATAAATATAATTCGAAGAAACTTCTTAAAATTAAAGTTTTATACTAAGAATTCATCTAATATTTGTTTTAAATATACTTTTTTCCTGTGAAAAAACGACAAGCACAAATACTAGACTAACAGAGCAATAAATCAAAATAAAATTGTAGAAAGATTACAATAATAAGAAATTACTAATAAAATTGTATTTAAGAACATTCAACAATTTAATAAAAAATCATAAGTTATTTTTTTTTTGGAGGAATTAAAAAAAAAATCATAAGTTATAACTGTGCACATCACATGTAAGCCACCAGTTGGAATATAATTAAGACAATCCGAATTCTAAACTAATTTATTACAACATGAATTAGCTACAATAAACGAGTATTAATTATTTCCCTTAAAAAAAGATAATTATTTCTTAATCTTAAATTATAAATCCAAAAATCACCTTGTAGATGAAAATGGTGTCGAGAAGCATATTAACATTTCCCTCCTCGTCCTACGCAAGTGTCATTTATCATCAGGTGTCAGCTCTCAGCTGCCAAATACGGAGAGGGAGAGAGGGCGCACAGTAAATTTCCGTATCTCTTCGCTATCCATACCATTATCGGCATAACTCTCTCCCTCCTCTGTCTCCGGAATCTCCTTGAAGCGAATTTGTTTTTCTAATCACAGGTAATTCCGACTATTTGCATTTTTTCTTTTTTTTTTTTTGGAATTCTCTTTAATGGTTTCATTCTCTAAATTAGGTTTTCAGCTGGATATTTGGTTTTGCTTTCTTTGTTTCTGATGTTTGGTGAGGTGAGCTTAAATATAGCATACAGTAATAATGTTATATCAATCTGATTTTGATTAATCACTCAAAGAAGAAAAACCCTGTATATAATTTATACATCCATAAGATCTGCTTCATCTTGTTAGCTAAAAATGGCAGAGCTGACGAGCAAAAATGGCAGAGCTGACGAGCCAAGAGAGGAGACATGCACTTGATGGTGATGTCGCAAAAGATATATAATTTATCAATAGTCTAATCTGAAAATAAAACCTAAAAATTAATCTCTTGCGTAAAATAAAAAATGAGACAATTTGGACACAACTCTACCTCTAAAAGAAAGAAAAAGAAAATTAATGGGTAGTAGCCTTCTTTTTTGAAAATTCATATATGTCTTCTTAGGCTTTTTCTTTTTTTATTTATTTATTTATTTATTTTTAATGTACCCTATAAATTCATAAGTCATAGACAGAGACCCGGAAGTCTTTCTTTTTCCATAACTGATCAATAAGAGTGCCCTAATGAATCAATGATTAGTCATTTCCTTAGACAATATGTAGCATCATCACTTTACAGTAGAAAGACTAAGGAAAAACACAAGAAAGTGGAAGAAAAATCCTCCCCTTCTTAAAGTTTTCATGTTGGAGAGAAAACTTATTATGTGCGTCCCAAGTCCATGTATATTTAAGCAGTGTATTCCCCATATGCTACCATATTCAATTCACAAGCTTTAATTATTTTCAGATTCAAGATTTTAGAAGAAAGAGAGAGAGAGAGAGAGACCTACATACTGTACCTGATATTTGGTGTACTATTAAAACTTCCACTGCTATTCCTGTCTTCACCAATCTTTCTCCTCTCCTCTTCTCTAAATCTTTTCTCCAAATGAGGCCTTCTTTTGTTGTTTCTCTTCTTCTTTTGTCCTTTCTTATTCATGAGGCTAAAGGTATATACATATATATACATGATTGCTAAACTTATTTATCTTATGAACTTGCAAAATTTATAAATCTTTCTAACATGTTTTATTCTTTTGCTGTAGCAATTCGCTTGGAAAAGGAATTTATGCAAGTGGCGCGGTAAAAGATTCATGTGAGTGTTCATGCTTCTGTTTTCTTTATATAATATAAATATCTTTTTTTTCCAATTTTGATGCGAAATTAAATGAATATTCTTGATTTATGCAGAAGGAGAAGAAGAGTACTTCATTAACAGAAAGAAGTAACAAAAATGGTGGTTTTGCAGGGAAAGAGGAAAAGAAGTAACAAAAATGGTGGTTTTGGAGCTGTTATTCTCTGCAAAGAAGGACAATGCACAGGTACCTTGAAGAAAAGAGTTACTAAAGTATCCAAGAAATCATCACCTCATTGGTTACCAAGAGTTCATGAAGATTATTATGGACCTAGTATTAGCAGTATATCTGTACCTCTTCCCATATCTTTGACTTTGTATTATTTGTTTTTAATTATGTTGAGATTGAGTTGTTATGATACGATTAGTTTGTTACTGATTCCTACTGCTAAGGAATTCAGTTTATTCTCTTTGTATTTAAACGCTTGTTTACTGGGAATAAGAGACACAGTATTCATTCTTCACTTTTATATTTATTATGGTATCAGAGCTCTCGTAACTCAAAAGAGTCTTTGATTCATTTTTTTTTTCTTTTCACACAATTATTCCCATGGCAAACATTCTAAATTCTGATAACATTACTTCCAACCTCACCCATCAAATAATACACTCGACTGCTTAATTGCCTATTAAGCTCAAAAGGTGTGAATACTCAAAATTTGAAAAGAGCCACTTTTCGGACTATCAATTTTTGAGCTAAAGCTGCAGTGATCACAGATGAAGGAAGTATCTGTCTCTCACCCTGTATTACTGTGAATACTCAAATTTTGAGGCTCTAAAAGCCAGATTTCCCGGCCGCGGCGATGGTGGCCGCCTCACGGAACTGGTCTCGAAATATTTTTTGGAGGTCCGGAACTCCCGGAAAAGCCTCCGGAACGAGAAAAAAAAAAAAAGAGGGGAAAAGGCACGCCCGCCCAGCCCAGGCGGGCATGCCCGCCCTCGAAGGCGGGCAGGGGCGCCCGGGGTCACATTTTTTCCTATAAAAAACGGCTCTGGGGCGCGCGCCCGCCCTTGAAGGCGGGCAGGGGCGCCCGGGGTCGCGTTTTTTTTCTTATAAAAAACGGCTCTGGGGCTCCGTTTTGAGACACTCAGTCTGTGTTGACAGACGCTCCTTCTCCCTTGTGATATTTGGTCACTAAAATTAAATTAAATTAATTAAAATTCCCTTAACGAGGAGCTTAACCTGGAGTTGAGAAGTGGCCGTCGATTAAATCAGGTATGTAAAATCAAAAACCTATTCATTTAATTTTAGCACTTCATGCATACTTCTCTTCTACCCCAAATAATTCTACAACTTGCATAAATGCATTCATATCATCATACAGGCAAGTAAATGGCCTCAATTAAAATATGATTAAGTTAAATGCCCGGTTAATTAATAATCGTGGTGTTAAAACTTAAATTTCGACAACATTGGCTTAAAATATCTAGTCTCTCAATGGCTATGGTATGACTGCCTTTATTTCGAACAACTTTCGGCTTAAGTCCAATTAATCAATAATTGTGACTAAAAGGCTTTAATTAATCACATTCTTTTGGCATTAAATTGCCTACATTGCAGTTCAATTAATTTTTTCAAATCAACACATTTCTGGCTAAAGGCCTTTTAAATAACCAAAACTTCTGGCCAACCAATTGTTTAAAATCAAAGTTTTGCCAAAATGCATTAAATACTCAATCAATCTTTTGTATTTTAAAACCGAAAAAAAATTCAATCATTCTTGGCAACAATTCGCCAGGCCGATCAACTTTCATTTTTGCAATCATTGCCTAACAATCACTCTTTTTGGCTAAAAAGCCTATAAAATCAATCATTTTGCCGACAATCGCTAAATTAATCATTTTTAGGGCAACAATTGCCTAAATCAACTCCTTTTTGGATAAGTCATTTAAAAATTCAACACTTTTTGCATCAAAGGCCTAAAAAATCAAACTCCTTATTGCAAAATGCCAAACAAAAGTGATCAAAGCATACACACAATCATGCATAAAGCATCCCCATTCAAAGCCCTCTAAAAAGCCATCGAACTAGTGGACTTTGATCTTTCCATTCAAACGGAAGTATCGTTAGGCACGTTCGAATTTCACCCGGGCGCAAAGTCGAAATCACTTTAAACATGTCATTCACCCTGCAAGAAGGTATTCAGCATTCCATTCATGGTTAGTTTATCAGACATCGACATGTCTCGGTCCATCTCGGTGTTGCACACCATGCCTTTAACATCATGGGGTTAAGTCTAATCTAGACTAGGTTTAATTAAAATTGGATCCTCTAGGGTTTTTTTCTTAGTTTGACCCTTAAAATAATTAAAACAAAGGCGGTTGGCGACTCACATATCACGTGCAATTTCTTCCTAGTCAAGATGCAATCTCATTCATTGATAGATCTTGGAGGGGTTCACAAAGGCACTTACCAATTTCTACCACCTGGAAAACTCAATTTTAAGCTTGCTTCTTGATTGCCATGACCTTGCTGGTATCTTGGGATGACACCACACGGTCTCCTCCAAATAAACAATCACTCAAGATAACACCTGCTCAACCCAAAGCCCAAGCGCATACCGTCTTATGGTACTACTGGCAGGATCGCCTACATTCATCAAGCCAATGGATCGCCTTGTATGATTCAACTATTGCCTCAATGTGGCTAATGCTTCCACCTCCATTGTTGGTAATGCTTCCAACTCTGCTCAAGCATGGACAATTCTTCACAACACCTATGCCAACAAAAGTCATACACGCATTTATAGCTTGCGCGATCAACTCGGTCGCATACAAAAAGATGACAAAAGTATCACCGAATAGCTTTATAAAATTCGTGAAATTGCCGATGAACTTGCTACTGCAGGTTCTCCAATGGCGGAACTTGAGCTTACTGTTAAAATTCTCAGTGGTCTAAACTCAAATTATCGAGAAGTAGCAGCTGCAATTCGCAACAGGAGTGTCCCGATTGAGTACCCAGAACTTTGTGAAAAACTTCTAGACCATGAACTTTGTCTTCAAAGTGAAGTAAAATCAGTCTCCTCAGCTATTCCCACAGTTGTAGCTATGCTACTCTACACTGCTACTCAATGTCGGATCCAATCGGCGTCTTTTTATACATTACCAGCAACCTTCAACTTCCACCAAAACCAGTGGCTCAAACAGACCAAAATCAACAACCAACCTCAACAAACCAACTTGGCGTCTCCACCATCCTCATAACACTTTCCACAATGGATTCACTTGTTCAATTAGCAACAAGTATTGGTCTAACATGCATCTGTGTGTCTCGCAGCAGCATCACATTAATTCATCTTCAAGCTAGAGCTAATTTTGTTTCTGAGCCCTCAAATGTGTCAGACAAAACCATGGTCCTCGACTGGTGATCACCCTCGACTCCGGTGCCACCCATCATATCACTGCTGATCCTCAGGACATGCCTGAATACACTGGTTTTGAAGAAGTAGCAATGGGTGATGGTAACAAAATCCCAATTACACACACTGGTTCTATTCATTTATATGCATCTAACGAAGCTTTCCAGCTGTCTAATACCATTTGTGCTCCTCAAATTCAAATAAATTTAATTTCTGTTAATAAATTTTGTCAAGACAATTTAATCTCAGTCGAATTTTTTCCCTCTGATTTTGTTGTCAAGGATCTTGCAACTAGGAAGCCGTTGGTGCATGGTCGGAGTAATAATGGATTATACGAGTGGCCAAAGACTCCCTTGTCCTGCTCTTTCCCTACAGCTCACACAGCAACCTCCACTAGTTCTCTTGAAACCTGGCATTGTAGACTCGGTCATCCTCATGATAGAGTTCTGCATCTTATTTTAAATCAAATGTTCTATTTATCTGTTTCAAAGATCAAGAAAATTATCTCTTTTGTAATTCCTCTTCATTACAATAAAAGCTATAGCAACCATTTTCTCACTTACATTGACAACGGTCAAGAAGCCTCTTCCAAACTATTTTTAGTATAATCTTTATGGGTCCCTCTCCCTGTCTGTTGACAACAAAATTATATGTATTGCATCTCCTTGTTGTACTCAACTATACAAAATTAGTCTTGCTTTACACAGATTAAAACAAAAAAATTATGTTACATATCAAATTTGTCAAAAACTTCATTCCTTTTAGTTGTAAAACGACATTTCTGAAAGACATTTCAATTTCAAAATTCTCTCCTTTTATACTGATGGTGGTGGTGAATTTCAGGCTCTTGATTCATACCTTAACCTACATGGAATAGAACATTTGAAATCCCCTCCATATACTCCACAACGGGTTGCCACTGCTGAACGCCGACACCGCCATATTATTGAAAATGCCCGAACATTACTCTATGAAGCATCTTTTCCATCCAACCTTTGGTCCTTTGCATGTCATCATGCCGTTTATCTAATCAACAGAATGCCCACTCACACTTTAGCCAATCATTCTCCCTATGAAATGTTATTAAAAAACAACCCGATTACTTGTCACTAAAAACCTTTGGATGTTTATGTTACCCATGGTTAAAACCTTATTCTCCTAATAAACTAGCTCCCAAATCTACACCATGTGTTTACTTAGGTTTTTCGCTGTCCCATTACTGTCATCAATGTTTTGATCCTCTCAGTTCAAAAATTTATTTGTCTCGTGATGTCCGGTTTATTGAACATATTTTCCCATACAAGTCCATGTTCTCTATTGGCTCCACTTCTAAATCTAATCAGTCTCTCAATTGGTTTGACTTAACCCAATCTCACTCTCCCACCTTATAACCCAATTACACTCACATTCTCCCACCTATACATCAGATAATCCTATTCGTTAAATCCCAACGTATTCCACTACAACCTTATTACCCTTGTCCATAGAGCGTGTTCACTCACCTATGTGAATTACACCAAACACCACAAAAACTCTTAAACGTTGCTCCACTTTGACTCTGGGAACTCGATCGTCGCACAAGCTGCTGTGACAACACCATCCATCCACTGGTATTCATCCACTATACACACACCTGACCCATCTCCACCTATACCTTCAGCCTATCCTACTCTTGAACGCATCCTCTCACACCATATCCCTGCTCCCATCTACTTTCAAAATTTACCAGGC